GGACCCTGTAATAAATAGAGAGAAACTGCTTCTGCCAGGACAAATGTCAGGTGAGCATAAATGGCCCCTTGTAAAGGCAATAGGAAATCCAAAATACTTCTCTCTCCTTTCTACCCCGCCCCCAGAGAATGACATATAGCTGCATGGAGACAAACCCATCTGGCTCATCTTTACCCTACAGATTTCAGAATCTTTCTGAACAAGCCCTTTCCTCTTCAGTGAGATATTACCTCGGGAGCGGGCTGGAATCTACACTTCCTTTGATCAGAACCTTTCTCAGTCAAGGCAACAGGACAAGCGCATTGCTGCCTGGGCCTGCCTGCTGAGTGGATGAGCTGTCAGAGATCACACCAGCATAGAAGTATATTGAAGGTGAACCCTAATGAAATTGAGTTTAAATTATCCTCCACGTGTCCCGCATCCCACCAACATTAATCCAGGCAGGGTCGTTTGGAAGCCGAACACTTTACGTTTCCATCCCACACCACTGTCAAGTTTGAGCAAATTAGGACAAGTCAGCACATAAGAACAACCATATATATCAGCAACTGCTAATGGTCCTATTTAGCCCGCCCGCTACTAAAGGATCTCCCCCCAGCCTAAAGGGAGGATCCACAGGACCTGGAAGCCAAATAATTCTGGAGGACAACTAATAAAATAACAGGGACGGGAGTGCGGTCAAAGGGTCAAACTAAGGGAACCTGACGGGGACACCAAGAAGAGAACCCTGAACAGCGCCCACTGCTCCTCAAAGGCGTCAAGGGAGCCAGCGGACGCCGCCCAGAGGAACTCTGCCCGGATGCGTGAGTGGATGGAGGATCGGAAACAGGCCCCACAGTCCCAGGAGACCCCATCGGCCAACCTCCTCTCCCTGGTTTTATAGATGGCCGTTTTAGCCACGGCTAGGAGGAGGTTGACCAGGAGGTCCCGTGACTTTGTGGGGCCACGGGTAGGGAGTGCGTAGAGAAGAAGGTGAGGGGAAAAGTGCAACTAAAAATGTAACCGGATATCCAGGAGGAGCCAGAATCGGGGCTGCAACCTAGCGCACTCCAGGTAAACGTGCGCCAGGGTCTTCCTCATGCTGCAGAAGGGGCAGGTGTCCGGGACGGGGGTGAACCGTGCCAAGTACATGCCCATGCTCACGGCCCCATGAAGGAGCCGCCAACTGATATACCTGGCAGGCCTCGGGACCAGGGTGGAATATAGGCCGGCCCACTGGGGCTCCTCACCCTCTAGAGGTGGCAGGAGGTCCCGCCACTGTGTGTTGGGGCGGGACGCGAGGGTGAGGAAGTGAAGGGTGTGGAGCACGAGCATGTATAGATGTTTCCTCGGCTCAGTCTGGAACCGAACCGGCTGCAAATCATGCAGCCGGCTCACGGTGAAGGGGCGAGGGGGAGGCCGGTTGGGTCCACGAGGCAGGGGCCCGATGAAAAGGTCCGGAGGGCCCGGGGCGGAGGGTGGGCGGGGCGTGCCCTCTCACAGGACCCGGTCGAAGTAGGCCCGAGCAGCGGGCGGTAAAGCGGCACTCACCTCCTGAAGTATGCGCTGGGGAGTGCGAGGCCTGGAGAGCCCCATGCGCCGAGCGAGCATCAGGGGATCCAGCCAGTCTCCCCGGTCGTAGTCCAGGAGGTGTCTGACTCTGGTGACTTCTGCCAGGACCAACCTCTGGCGCACCGAGGGGGACTCCACCACCTGCACATGGAGCTGGGGGTTGTGTAGCAGGGGCTCCGCGAGGAGATCTGCCCCCACGGTGGCCGCCACAGACCTGAGAACAGTTTCCAGGTCTGGAGGAGGTCCTGGTAGAAGACTGGCAGCCCGAAGAGGTCTCGCGGAAGACCTCTCGGATCGAGATAAAGGAGCTGCCGGTCGTATCGGAGCCCTCGGAAGCGGCGCAGGAAGGCGTGCGCCAGTACTCTCCACGCCGGACTACCTGCACCATAAAGGAGCCTCTGCAGGGCCTGGAGGCGGAAGACATGGACCTGAGTGCGCAGGCACTTCAGGCCCTGCCCTCCCTCCTCCAGGGGCAGGTGGAGGACCCCTGCAGAGACCCAGTGCAGTCCTGGCCAAAAGAACTCCAGAATCACTGTCCGGAGGTGAGCCAGGAAACCCGGGGCTGGGACCAGGGTGTTGAGCCGGTACCAGAGCATGGACAGGACTAGTTGATTGAGTACCAGTGGCCTCCCTCGGAGGGAGAGGCACCCGAGTAGTCCTGTCCATTTCCGGAGCCGCTCCGTCACCCTGCCCTCTAAACCGTGCCAGTTCTCCGGTGGAGACGGATGCGTGGCAGAAAGGTAAACGCCGAGAGAGAGCAGCGGACCCACGCTCCACCGCTACCTCTCCCTGCAACAGGTAGCACATTCCTACAGAGAGCAGTTTCACACATCCTGTGGTGTAAGAAACTGCTCTCTGTAGCAATTAGCTACATCGGATAACAGTTTCTAGCAAAGTAGGACCTGTCCCTGGTAAAGGTAGCAAATTCCTACAGAGAGCAGTTCCTCACACCATAGGGTCCAGATAATATTGAACCTGCCATGAGTTCAATCCATTAACAGGGGTGGCCGGTTTGTAGTTTGGGTGGGGGGAAGAGGTCTGGGGTGCAGGGGGTAGGGGTGCAGGGTCTGGGAGGGAGTTTGGGTGCAGAAGGGGTGAGAGGTTGGGCTCTTGGAGGGCGTTTGGGTGGGGGAGAGGGTCTGGGGTGCAGGCTCCGGGCTGGAACAGGGAGTTGGGGTGCACAAGAGGGTGAAGGGTGCAGGCTCTGGGAGGGAGTTTGGGGGCAGGAGAGGGGGGGGGGGCAGGCGCGGGGCAGGGGGGGGGGGTGCAGGCTCTGGGATGGAGTTTGGGTGCAGGCTCTGGGGTGGGGGCATAGGAGGGGGTGAGGGGTACAGGCTCTGGAAGGGGTTTGGGGTATGGCTGGTGATGAGGGGTTCATGATGCAGGAGGGAGCTCAGGGCTAGGGCAGAGGGTTGGGGTTTGGGGGTGCAGGCTCTGGGGTGGGGCAGGGCTGGGGATGAGTTTGGGGTACAGGCAGGGCTGGGGCCAGAGAGGAGGACTCCCCCCAGCCCTCTCCCTGCCGGCAGCAGTGAGCTCTGGGGGAGGGGCCCCCCTCTCCCCCCCCACCCCGGCAGCACACTCACCCCCACCACTGTCACTCCTAAGGCCCCTCTCAGATCCATATAAGCGTTATATGATCCTACTACACTTGTTATGGTGGAAAACTGCTTGTCACTGCCCAGAAGATTGTTTCCCTCTAGGAATTGTCTCCACGTGGAATAACTACTCTGGAACGACGGCTTCGGATTAGCAGCTCCGTGTGTGAACGCTTGGCCTTCACATTCAAGAATCAACTTTCAAGGGAAGGCAAGCCCTTTCTCCCCCCACCCCACTCCTGGGCTCACTTTACTGCTTTCTCCCTTGCCTCTCCTCTGTACAGGCAGCTGTGGAGGGGGCACTCTCCACTTGCAGTCAGGGTCAGCATGGTGCTAGGGGGCGCTGCGCTGCAGGGAGCGGGGTGGAGGGCTCTGCAGGGGGTGCTCAGTGCTCCAGTGCGGCGCTAGGATGTGTGATGTGTTTACTCCCGGGGGTGTGGAACAGGTGCCCATGGGGTGGAAGGGACTTTCCCTTGCTGCGTTCCGGTGTGCGCCTTTTCTTGGCCAGAGCTGTCTGCAGAGCAGACTCCATCTTGGCCACAAAGACACCACAGCTACATTAAATTGACTTTAAAACTTGATCTAGTTACGCTGAGACAAATATCTAATATAGATGACGGGGGAGCCAGAGGGCCATTCCCCCCCACACACTTTTTACCGGCTGTAAGGGTGAGTGACAGGGGGAGGGGCAGAGAGGAGCGAGTGGGGGTGGGGTCTCAGGGGAAGGGGCGGTGTGAGGATGGAGTCTTGGGGGAAGGGGTGAGGCTCATGGGAAGGGGTGGTTCAAGGGTGGGGCCTTGAGGGAAGGGGTGGGGTCTTGGGGTAATGGACAGTGTGAGGACAGGGGCTCAGGGAGATGGGGCGGTGTGGGGGTGGAGCCTCGCACAGGGGGCGGGGCCACTGTTCAGGTGCCCGGGGGGGGGGGGGGCATTTTTAAGGTGCTTCTGTTGCTCCTGGTAGAGGCCCTAAAATGGTTTGTTTCCCTTCAATGGGTTTAGTTTGAATTCCAGATTAAACCAGTTGAAGAGCATCTACATTAGGGATTTCCACTAGTATAATTAGAAGATCAATGTTAAAACGGATTTAGTTACGCTGCTACGACTTTTCAAATATCGACAAGCCCACAGATTAGCAGTACAGCACATTCCGCTTATTAGGAAGCCCCCGGTTGACGACTGAGAGTTGCCATTATCTGATGCTGGCTGAGAAGCAGAAGTCAGGGTTGCGGTGCTGTAGCCAGGAAAGGAATCGGTAGGTTATGATTTCCCTGCCTCCAGCCCCACAAACGGCGGTGCTGGGAGTCTGTGGGGCGCAGGGGTTTGTTTTTTTTTTAAGCTCTCAATAATGCAAGCCTCTTGCCAATAGCCAGACCAGTTATCTTTATAGTCAAGTGGGCGGTATCGGTTCCAGGCAAAATGTTTCTATTAAGTGGAAGTTGCAGTGAGGGTTGTTATTAAGCAGCATCTACTGTAACTGGAGTCTCTGGCTGCATGTGGTTTCCTTTTCTGTGTCACCTTCCTGAACAGGAGAGGGTATTCCGGCTTCCCTGGTTCCCCACATGGCAACTGGCTTCCTTGAAATCCCCCTTTAGTTGGACTTGGACAGGAGCAGTTCTCTTGTGGTGTGTGAATAAATCCCCATGTGTAATCTCTGCCTATCCATTTTAGTTTCTAAATCCCTTTGGAGTTCGGTGGCGGGGAGGAGATCCAGGATTCTGAGGCAATGTGCGGTTGTTCGTTACACTGCTAACGCCTCTGGATGTGCGGGCAGGGCTGGGGAAGGAACTAGGGGTGCAGAGAAACCCAGCCAACCCTTGAAAATTAGGACTGTTTCTGTCTCTTGATTTCACTTTAGTCCAGTAGCTGCCAAGGGGAGAGGATCCGGTGCTGGGATCTCTGAAGTTGACTGCTGCCTCCAAATTGGACCCAACTGCAGCTAGAGAGGAACTGATCAGAGGCCAGTGCCCGCACCCCAGCGTTCATCTGTCTCGGTGAGAGAGGAGAGATGACAAAAGGCGAGGGTCCCATGGATTCAGAGCAGTCACCCAATGAAGGAGAAGGTAACTGATGCTTGACTGAGTAGGAACAGCCTGGAGGCTACTTAGGGTGTCCAGGTGCCTGGTTTTTGACCGGAAAGTCCAGTCAAAAAGGGGACCTAACCGTGTCCGGTCAGATCTACTGACTGGCCACGCAAAGTCCGGTTACTGCTGGTGGAGGAGGCGCCGGGTCGTCACCCGCGCCAGCTCCTACTCAGCCGGGGTCGCCTCCTATCTGCGTCGGGCAGCTGCAGCTCCCAGCTCTGCAGGCGAGTTCCTCCCAACCCAGGCAGGGGAGATAGGGGAATAGCAGTGAACAATGGCGGGAGGGGGGAAAGAAGAGCAAATGGGGGGTGGGGCCTCGGGGGAAGAGGCGGGGCAGGGGTGGGGCTTTGGGGGAAGAGGCGGGGCGGGGTGGAGGAGCGGGCCTCGGGGGAAGAGGCGGGGCGGGGGAGGTTCCGGCACTCCTGCTGGAGTGTCCATTTTTTAAGTATTACAAAGTTGGCAACCCTACCTATACTGCTGTCTGCTGGTTGGCATCAGGAGTCCCAGGTCACAAGCTCCTACATGCAGGCCCCGCAGTTCGTACGCGCAGCTGCTGTTTTCCAAGCACAGACATGAGATGATGGTTGTGTGGCGGGAGCGCTCGCATTCTGTGGGCTGGTGTAACTCAGGCCTGCTGGGTGTGGCGCTCTGTCGCCCTCTAGAGGCACCTAGACCACCTAGAGATTAATGAGTCTGCTTCAGCCTTAGCTAAGAGGCAGGTGGCTTTTAGCTCATGCAGTAGACGCTCATGGTCAGTGGTCCCAGGTTCTATCCCACCGGCCGACAGACCAAGCGACTGACTGGGTTTGTTCTTTCTCGCTCTGCTTTATGCTAAGGACAAGTGAGTCAAGTTTGCCATCGCTGCACCTGTTTCACCCAGAATCCCACAGTGGGCATTGCCGAGACCAGCTGTGCACGGGGGGGAGGGGAACTGGATAGCTTGTTTATGGAAACACAGGTTTCTGTAGACATACCATAAATGCACACCTGCTCCTGTGGCTTCATCAGTGGGCCCTCGGAAATCCTTCTGTCTGGAATATTTTGACGTTGGTCGAGCATTCCGTTCCATGACTGAAGGGATTTCAAAGAAACCGTTAACTTCTGCGCAAAACAGTTTTCATTGAACGGACACAGTCATTTATTCAAACAGTACAACGGCACCCACCATCCAGGGGTCTGCACACCCCTTCCAAACAGCCAGAAATAATCCCGACCACCCACACTGAGGTTCCTATGGGTGTAGGAGAAGGGAAGGAAAATGGTCTTTATTTTGCTGACCTTTTGGTGCCTTTGTTATTTTGGCTGGATGGAACTAACTTGAGAAATAGATGAGGAGCCTTAGGGAAGCTAAAAGGAAACTGGGTAGAAGGAAAGTCTTGTGGCTAACGCACTGGACTCAAAGTCATGAGCTCATGGTTATGTATTCATGCCTCCACCTCACTGTGATCCAGGGCAAGGTGCCTCGCTCTCTGCCTCGGTTTCCCCATCTGTGAAATGGTGATGACGATACCACCTAGCGGGTGTGCAGATAACGTCTGTGATGGCAGAGGGCCGCGAGCATTGGAGGGGAAGGGGCTGTGGAAGCGCAAAGTCAGTGACACCTAGGGATTCGCCAGAGTTTTCCTGCTGCCGTATGTAAACCTGGTTCCTTGTATTAAATGTAGACGTACAGACCTTTGTGCGTCAGACTGCGAGGGGCTCCGTACCAGGAACACGTCCTCAGCTCTCCGGCAGCATCAATACTTTACCATCTGTTCTCCACCTGGGAAGCTAGTTGTCATGGTGATGGGCTGGCTAATGGCGACATAATGCTGGTGGTGCTGAATCCCTCTGGTGCCACCGGCTGGGGCGACCTACGGGACGTGAACGGGGTTTGTTCTCTTTCAGTTGAACTGCCTAACAACAAACTCCAGAGAGCTGTTGGGTGGAAAGCCCCGCTAGCCGTCGGCCTGGTAGTCGTCGTTGTGATTGTTGCTGTTGCCGTGATACTTCTGCACGGTGAGTTGTCAGCCTTCGCTGCCCCGCGCTGGGGGGAGGCATGTGGGTCACATGCCCCCCCCGCCCCCCCGATTTCTGCCGGGGTGGGAGTTGGGATGAGCGCAGCTGAGGGGGACATGCTTGGGAAAGGCACCAGCAGCAAGCGCTTCTGCCTGAGTCCCACTAGGTGGCGCCCCAGAGCAGGGAAGCAAAACCGGGCCGGTAGCCCAGCTCTCTGCCAGAGGGGGCGCTGCGTGGGGACTCGCATCCCTTCCTCGCCAGCCAGCAGCTGCTGTTAGAGCACATGTCTGGCCTGGCCTGCCTAGAGCTAAGGGAGTCCGTTGGGGTAATGGGGGGAAGATAGTGGAGCCTGGGGGTGCAGTGAGGAGCCCAGGGAGGCAGTGGGGCAGGGAGATGGGTGGGGGGCTGGGGTTGGCAGTGGGGGGGAGTCAGGGGCAATTGGGGGATCAGGGGAGGCAGTGGGGGCCAAGGCCGATTGGGGGATCAGTGGGGGCTGGGGCGATCGGGAGGGATGTGGGGGAGGCATCAGGCCAGGAGCATTGGGTGGGGGGTTGGGGGAGGCCATGGGGGGCCAGGAGCGTTGGATGGGGAACCGGGGGAGGCAGTGGGGAGCCAAGGGCGATTTGAGGGATGGGGAACCGGGAGAGGCAGTGGGGGACAGGGCATCAAAATACAAGTTCACCCAGTGTGCCATTTTCCCTAAGGCCAACCCTGGCAGGGCTGGCCTAAACGCTGGGCGACATGGGTGACTGCCTAGGTTGCTGTGGTCAGGGGGTGCCTTGGTCAAGAGGGTGTTGCTGGAGGGTGCCTGGGGCAGTCATCAGGAAGGTGACCGTGGCTGTGGTGGCAAGGGGGGGACCTGCCATTGTGGTAATTACCAGTTGCCTCTGTTTGGCTTCAATAGTCAGGGTCAGAAATTACACATGTGGGATGCTTCCACCCACTGCCTGTGCTGGTCCCTTTCGTTGCCCCCTCTAATATATGACAGCACTGGCCCTTTAACAGAGAAGCTAGCTTAAAACAGCCTGTCAGGGTCTTCCCCCCCCTCTCCCCCCCCCACACACACTCTGAACTCTGGGGTACAGATGTGGGGACCCGCATGAAAGACCCCCATGCTTATATTCTACCAGCTTAGGTTAAAATCTTCCCCAAGGTACAGATTCCTTCCCTTGTCCTTGGACGGTATTGCTGCCTCCACCAAGTGATTTACACAAAAATTCAGGGAAGGGTCACTTGGAATCCCTATTCCCCCAAAATATCCCCCCAAACCCCTTCACCCCCTTTCCTGGGGAGGCTTGAGAATAACATACCAACCAGTTGCGTTAGCAATGTGAGCACAGACCAGACCCTTTGTCTTCAGGACACTGAAATCAATCAGGTTCTTAAAAGAAGAACTTTTATTATAAAGAAAAAAGTCAAAGCATCACCCCTGCAAAATCAGGATGGAAGGTAACTTTTACAGGGTAATAAAAAGATTTAAAACACAGAGGATTCCCCTCTGGGCTCAGCTTCACGGTTACAAAAACAGGAATGAAACAACCTCTGTAGCACAGGGAAATTCACAAGCCAAAACGAGAGAACCTAACGCATTTCCTTGCCCTACTCACCGTTTCTGTGGGTTTAGGTGGATTATTTCAGGTATATTTTTCAGGAGATATTGTACCTGCTTGGCTTCTCTCTCTCTCCGTCCGGGAGAGAGAGACAAGAACAAAACAAATCCTTTCCTTCCCCTGCAACCCCCCCCCCCCGATTTTCTTTCCTCAATGGTCCTTCTGGTCAGGTGCCAACTAGGTTATTTGAACTGCTTAACCCTTTGCAGGTAAAACAATCCGGTACAGCTGCCAAGGAGGGATTTTATGCTACCGAATGGGCTGGCATACATAAAGGTTGCTACCCATCCCCCTATATTCATGACACAGCCCGTCTGGCTGAAAGTGTTTTCCCAGTTAGTG